AGTAAGTCGTTAAGCGTAAGCCTTACCGCGTGCTGGTCAGATACGCCGTTCATGACACGCGGATCGTCGAGGCAGGGGAGGAGGCGATTATACGCTATAAAAAAGTCATTGATATTATCTCTATTTGAAAAATATCGTCATAAGTAGTGTTCTATAATTCAGGTCCCTAGATTGATCCTTGCGTTGCTCCAGCCGTTATTTGTTCCGTTTTTAATTCATTTTTTGTTGAATAGATTAATTGTCGGTTTGTTAAGCAGGTTCCAATTAATTTGCTTATATAAGCGAGTACTTGGAAGCGATTGTCTTCTGAGACTGTATATGTATTGATGACGTTTTTACATCTGAGATTATTAAAAGCAATTTTTAATGTCTAAAGTGGCAAGAAGTACTATTGGTCTTGAGTAGTAATTACCACGTTGGGGTACTTTTGCGGCCAAAATAACCTCAGCGATGACTCCTATTGTGGATCTTTTAGCTCTCATATTGTCTAGATAACATTTTCCTGCGATATTTAGTAAACACAGTGGTCTAAATGCTGCTGGAGTATCTCGATTTTCCTTTTCAATGTTGCCTTTTCCATATATCTGGGAAGATTCCCAGATATATATATATATATATATATATACATAAATATAATTTCAAAAATTTTATGTATACATGCATATTATCACTTGACGTTATCAATAAAAATTAGTTATTAATATTATCATTTGTGTTCAGAAATATAAACATACATATCTTGTGATCAAAACAGAACGATAATGCTAATGCATATTCTTATTTCATTTTATTATGCAATCCATTAGCAATTAGTCGTTTGACAAAAATTGACTGGTCAATATTTAACCATTAGTCAAAATTTGGTTGCTTTTGCTAATTCTCAGCAAGCAATTCAAACCCTGATTGCCAGTTATACTTGAGGTTTATTTTTCGAAATTATTTTTAAAAATTCGTCTGGCACCCCATCTGGTCCAGGTGCTTTATTATTTTATAATTCTTTAGCTGCGATCATTAGTTCTCTCTTCGTGAATTTTTGAATATTCTTCAGGTGAACTCGTGCAACATTTTCCTCACTCCTGATATCATAGCTTGGAAGCAGGGTATTAACAATTTCGTTCATTTTCCCTTCTTCTAGATCACTTACTGCTGATTTTACTCCTAGTTTTTTCATGACTATTTTGTATCCATGATCATGATTTATGTCATTTCTAAGTTCCCCCATTTTCTTCGTTTACTTGTGTTAATCACTTTTTTTAAGTTATTTTTGGCTTGGGTATATTTTAGACCTTGCGTCACTGGTTTTATTTCGTCTAGCTCTCGTGTAGCGCCTTCGTGTGCGTAAGCATGCTTGGTCGGAAAGTGCCAAAAGGCACTTTTTGGAAATATGAGAGGAAAGACTGCCACAATTACGGGGTGCCTGACGGAACGCACATATTTTCAATGAGATGGCCACAGAACTTCAGAATAGGGGTTTTCTGGTCACTTCATTAGAAGTAAAAACGAAGGTCCACAACTTTACACAACGATTTAGGTAAGTATTTCATAACTGAAATTGAAAATTACAATAATGATTTGTGCATTGAAACTGTTTTATTTTTTTTTTATGTTATGTACTTTTATATAATAAAAAGAGATTTAAATGTAATTTTGTTAATTTTTTATTTATTTTTATTATTTTGCTTGTTTGTTTATTTTAAGTCAGGAAAGAACAGCAGTGTGTTGGAGTTTTGGGAGGGGCGCCATCCGACTGGAAGTACTTCCATATATTGAAAAGATTTCTAGGAAATTTGCCCATACATAACACTACAAAATTAGTGTATGATTGTGTAGTGTATTGTAGGTGAGTTTTCACAAATTTGTTTAAGTTTTTCAAAATAATAAATGCGTTTATTTTTCAGACCAGGGCCCGTCATCAAATGATGCATCGTTGCTGCCGCCATGCTCTTCTCCACCGATAGATCCAATATCTTCGTCGGAAGATTCTAAAACACCTGCAAAAAAAAAGGCAATTTGAATGACACCCTTTTGGAAAAATTTCAGAATCTGACAGATGTAGAGAACCGCCACATCGAGCTACAGGAACGCACATATGCAAGGTTCTTCAATTTAATGGCAGAAAGCAATGTTGCTTTATCGCGTATCGCGTCATCAATGGAAGGATGCTTTCCATATACTCGGCGCACTTGTTACGATGACTCCAGCTAGCGATAATTATTTATTAAAAATATAACATAATTTATAATTATTATTATCATTATATTATTATAATTTAGATAAAGTTGTATTCTTTTATTTTTTTTGAATATAATTGGATTAAGTTATGTAGTGCTACAAAGATAAGTATTTGGATTAGGTGAATTTCTAATAAAACACTAAAAAATGTAGCTAAAAATCGTCTTATTTCTTCTGCATTTAGATCGCCGTCATTTAATAATGAAACTTCTTCTGGTTGTTGTCGTTCTGTAACCAGCTGTTGTTTTTTCAGAGCACGTACCCAACTTTTTTCCACTACATCGTTTTTTTCATTTAAAAAGTTGTGAAGAACACAACAGGATCGTATTCTGCTGTTCACGTTTTCGATTTTGTTGTCAATGCCCTTCCCTATTCTGCGAAACCTTGCCTTAAGTTGCCCAAAAGCATCAACCACTCTTCGACATTTAGATAATTGGTAGTTAAAAGTTTTTTGACCAGCGTTTTCATCATAAGGGTATGGTTTCATAACTTTGGTAAAAAATCGAAATACAGAATCACCGAGGATCAAGATGGGTATTTTGACACCATTAATCACCCTACTTTTGTCTTCTAGAGCAACACAATTTCTTAACTGCCTCTTAAGTGATGAGCTTTCAAAAATGAAAGTCATTGACTTTTCCAGGATACCGAACATTTATATAAAAAAACGGTATCTTTAAATAAGTAGTAAAATATATTTGCGCGTTCATTGAAATTTCGTTGTTTATTTACTTATAAATTACTTACCTATAATCTACGAGGGCAAACAAAACAATCGAGTACCACCCTTTATAGTTATAGCAGTCAACAGCATTCTGAGATTCTGGATTTATTTCAATGTGGCTTCCATCGTTAATATTGTTTACAATTAATATGTTTCAGTAATAGTAAATTGAAAACTTACCTATTGCACCTAAACATTGTGGAAAACCAAGAACCTGAAATCCTCTGATGCACTCATTCTTGTCGCTTGTTAATGCAAATGCATTCATGTACAAGGGTGAAAGAATTTTCCACACCTCCTAACAAAATAATTTCAGGCAAATGTACACAGTTGACTTGCCAACGCCAAACAGACTTGCTACGCTTCTGTATTCAGCCGACGACATAATACAATACAACCCAATGGCAATTCTCTTTTCTATAGAAATTGAAATCTGAAAGGTTGTATCTTTTTTTTGTAGTCCTTTTAATAATTCATATAACTCCTTAAAACATTCCAAACTCATGCGAAAAATTTCTTTGAAAAAATTTGGACCATTTTTCTGGCAATCCACTTCCTAGAATTTCTTTGTTCTTTTCTGGAAAAAATGTTGATTTTAAACTTTATTTAATAATCATTACTGGCGGCACTAACCAAAGTCCAGCACTTCCTCCGGTTCCTAGCAATTATTGTAGAAAGTATTGGTATTTGCTTTTTTCTTATTTCAAGTATATTTTTTCGGTGCATTACACGACATTTACGATATTCAAAATTTGCTGTCTTTCTATTATTAATAATTTCACACACATTATACATTCTATTTTTTAAATTTTCCGCGTTTTCTATTTTATTATCTTACACAGTACCGACATTTTTCTTTGTGTTTTATTTGTGAACAAAAGAAAGTTCTTTTATAGCATATTTGACATATAAAAGTTCTAAAAGCTGTATAAATAAGCTCATTATTATGTGACCGCTTCCTCATTTATATAAATGAGCAAGTGCCTAAATGAGTAGTGCGAACCTGGTATAAGAAAGAATATACAGAAATATTCTACTCAAAGATTCTAGTCAACGACATCAAAATGTCGTAGGCGTTATAAAAAAATATTCCACTCAAAGATTTCTAGTCAACAACATCAAAATGTCGAAGGCGTTATAAAGAAATATTCTACTCAAAAATTCTAGTCAACGACATCAAAATATTGAAGGCGTTATACAAATTTATTTAGCCTATAGTATCAGAATACTATTGGCGTCAAAAAAAACTTGGCGACATAGCTATGGAGTAGGTGTCTACTCACTTCAGTGTGCTGACGCTAAGTGAAGTTTCATACAAAATTCTCGTCTATTTATATGAAATCACTCTCGTTTCAATAGACGTACGCACAACCGAACCAGTGTAATTCTACGTGCGTAAACAAATAATGCATTTCTTTGCGAAGTAACGGCTCTGCCGTGAGCTTAGCTTGACTTGTGCTGGCTGTTCGTGTGGATGTTCGCTGCTCCGTTGAAACTTGTTTGTTAATTTTATGAATGAAAGATGCGTAAAATAGTTTTACGCATTTCGGTTTTAGCGACCTTAAATATAACCAATAAATTTTATACAAATGGAATTAAATATTACTGCATTGTAATATTTTATATTTTCTGTTTTAATAAAAGTTATAAGTTATGTAGGGCGGAAATTTGTACAAAATTCCGTCCTTACATCTTTATATGGTAAATCATCCTCATTAGTGATTACAATGAGCAAAACCGTCTAAATGAGACAGTGTGAATGTTCTATTACATTTTACATATCTCGCCTTAAATAAACTGATTTATTGATAATGAGCTCATTTAGGGGTTATAATGAGCAAAACCTCCTAAATGAAACAGTATACATGTGCTATAACGAAGCCAGTGAAAACGTATTATAACATATCTTAAAAGTAATGCTAATTTGTTTCAACTAGACGTAATATATTTTTTTACAACTCTGAAAGAAACAAATACAACTGTTTTCAATATTTCTGAATATAACGACCCTGATTTTCACAGTAATTTATCTAAATGTGTGCACATTGCATATTAGGCATCATTTGTCTTAAAGTAATAAGACGAAATTACGTTAGTGTTTCCAGATAAATGAAATTTTAACTAAATGTTCAAATAAAATGAATTGATGAGTGAACAATAAAAACTTTTTTTAAAACAAATATTTTATAATTTTCTAACAATGCCTCTCATTGTGATATCTGGACTACCGTCTAGTGGTAAATCTACTCGGTCAAAAGAATTGTACAATTTTTTTTTACAAAATAGAAAAAAGGTTTACTTAGTATCTGAAAATGAAGCTGTTCCCAAAGCTGGATTCCATAAAAATGATTATTTTGCAGACTCACAGAAAGAAAAAATTGTTCGCAGTGAATTAAAATCTGAAGTTTTGCGTCTACTTAATAAAAAGGACGTTGTTATATTGGATGCAGGAAATTATATAAAAGGTATCAGACGTTTATAGATTTGAAAAATTTTGTTTATTAAATATTTAGCTTTAAAACCAAAGGTTATCGTTACGAATTATTTTGTGCAACAAAAGCAACTCGAGGTAATCAATGTACTATTTTTTGTGGTATTCAGGAAAAACGTGCATGGGAATTAAATCAGCAGAGATGCGATGTTGAAAGCATGACAAAATCAGAAATTCTTAACAATTCATGTGTTCCATATACGAAAGAAATTTTTAGCGCATTGTGCATGCGCTATGAAGAGCCGCATGGAAATTGCCGTTGGGATAGTCCACTTTTTGTTGTTTTTCCTGAAGATAAACTAAATTTCGATGGTATTCACAGCGCCTTATTCGAATCAAAACCTTTACCTCCAAACCAAAGCACTCAAAATGTAAGTATAATTATCTAAATGCATTGTATATTTCATTAACACAAATATAATTACAGCCGCCTTTGACTGTTAGCAACTACCTTTTTGAACTCGATAGGCTTACACAGGATATCATAGCAGATATTTTAGCTGCTCGTAAACTTGGTATTTTTGGACCTGTATCAGTAAAAGGGAGCGAAACTAAAGTCGAAATACCTGCCCACTACAATGCTATTCAGATGAATCGATTAAGAAGACAGTTCTTAAATTATAGCAAGAATCATCACGCAACAACGAGCACTCTCGATAGAGTACCTCAACTGTTTGTACAATTTTTAAATTCCAATTGTAATAAACAATAAGTAAAAAATCATATACTTTTGACTACAATAGAGTATAGAATGTCGACATGATGTATTCCGAATTCGTACTAAACAAATTCAATTCATTGGCAAATCTGCAAAAAAAAAAGAATATTCGCAATTTTTACCATTTACAAAACTTAAGTTTTATTCAGTTCTCTTCTATATCTTCTTTTTTTGAAAATTGATATAATTTTAAGGTTCCCAGTTAATTTATTTTCATATACGCTGACTGATTTACTTTTCTGTGAGACCAGAATTATTTTGATTACAAATGTGATTTTTGTATTGCATTTCACTCATAACATTTTTCAATCCATTTTCTCTATTTTCGTCGCTAGTGTTTTCAAAATTTGTTGTATTGTATGGTTTTCGACATATCCAAAATACACTTTCATATTCACTTTTAAGCATTGATTTTGGATTCTGAGCGTATTTAGTACGAATACCAGTATCATTCCTAATTATTTCAAAGCCAATGTTGTCAATAATGGAAATCAAATCTTCATACGTTGGTTCAATGCTATTTTCACCTTCAATATCACTATAGTGATAAAGTAGTGGCCCCAAATTTATCCATATACCACCTGGAATCAGAATCCTTAAAAAAAGTTCATCATTATTTTTCTTTTTATAAAGAAATGTTAAAAAAATACTTGAAAATTGTCTCAATAAATTCAACGATATTGTTTGCGCAGTCAATAAAAAAACATGTTGCTACACAGTCGTAGGTATTCGCTACTTTATACACCTAAAATATATACTATATTAATAAACAGCTCTGAACTTTATTGCATTTTACTTCTAAAAAATCTCCCGCTGCCATCATTATATTCCCTTTTGGAGGATTCCGTGCTGGACAAATATCAGGAAAACGAATTGATGCTACTTGATCCGATTTATTTAAATTATTAACATACTGATGAACCCAAGGGTACAGTGTATACGCATTTTCTTCTGTACATCTGGAATACTTTGCTATTAATTTAGGTAATTCTTAAATATATACTTACTGATTCAAAACAAAGTTTGATGCGATCAGCATAAAATAAGAAAATTCATTTCCCTCACATTCGTAACCTCTACAAGCCAATTCATAAGTTAAACGACCAAGACCTGCTCCAGGTACCAGAATTTTAATTTCATTTAATTCACTAAAAAGAAAAAATTATGTTCACAATATATTTAAATTTTAGAGAGTTTTATATTACAATTCCCCTGGCTTAAAAAATTCTTCTACAGCATTTATGATTGGCTTATAAGACTGATTTCTTTCCTCTGCTCCCTCTTGACTCCAATCACGCGCAATAAGTTTTAAGGTAGACTGGGCCTTTAAAATTTTAAAAGGTTCAACATCAACATGCTCATCTCGCTGTGGCAATTATTTGTAGCATTTTCACAATTTCAAAAATAATTTCAACAACGTTATAACAAGAATTACAAAAGGAAAAGGGATATGAATTAAATGACTGAATATAATTAATAACATGAAAATACGCTAAACGATACTATTAACTTTTGATACGAGTTATGTCTGTCTTACATGTTCTTGATGGCGCATTTTTACTTCACGACTGTCGGTATCATGGGATGTTATTAGATCTGTCGAACTTTTACTATTTGCGCTTAGTATGTTTTCACGAAGCATTTTTTTAATGACTGCTTGATTAGCATCGATGCAATCTCTAATTGCGCCCAAGTGTTTACGATATTTCGATAACATATTTTGATGTGTTTTGGGCAGGCTGTTTAAATAATTTTCACTTTGATTAACCCTGGCATAAGCGTACTTTCTAAAAATATACAAACAAAAAGTGTACTGAAAGCTTAATTCAAATAAATAACACTATCTATGATTGCTATATACTATTTACTATCTACACATAGGTACAAAATTGCTGTACTGTAACAATCTGTAAATCATTGCTTAGTAAGTCTTAGAACAAAATAAAAATACTTACAAATTCTTCTCACAATATTAAAAGCATATATTCAATATGTACCGAAATATTACAATATTATTGTAATATTGCACAATTATATATGCAATTTGATATGTAAACACAGTTATTAATAATAATTTTACCTAATTATTGCACCTTAAAATTACGTAGAAAATCAGACACTCAACAGTTTTTCAGAAATAAGTCTTACCGATATAATTGCAATGCTCTTATGATTTTTTGTATATGTTGTTTTTCTGCTTCCTCCTCTTCCGGTAATAACCCTGCCGAACGCTCCATTATATCAACGGCGTCCTCCATTGTTTGCACCACGTTTTTATTAAAAGGAAACTAAACTAATGAAAATATAGAATATGTTAATGCAATTAACAATAAACCGAATTAATAATTTTCACAACCCACATATAACTTAAGTAGTCAAGATTGTAAAATTAGTTGCAATACAATAAAACAAACCGCCTGTGTTAAAATATCAACAAAGTACAACACGCACTGATGTGTCAAACTTATAAAGCACCGGTCACAATGTGATGCAAATATATATTTCATTTATATTGGTCCTAAACACATTAGATTAGCGCGTGTTTGATTGATCGAGGACAAAACTCGTTCAAACTGGCATTAATGTATTAAGCGTTTTCATTGGCTCGCCAGTGTGGCAAAAAACGCATGCTAGCCTATATTCGCTAAGCGACATTGGCATCACTGTTGCAATCTGTCTAGTGTTATATTTTAACAAATAGCAAATCTTGCATATGTCCACATAAAACAAGCAGATTACATTTTGTATAAAAATAAATAATTAGGCCGTATGCGAGTTCGAATAAATTGATGGTAAATTAAGGGAAATAGTAAATTATGTCGTTATAGCAGCGAATGTTGGTATTTACCAGAATTTTGAGTAGGATGAACCAGAAAAAAATTAGTTAAATTAGATATTACCAATGTGAAAATTTTATAAAATGTTTGATAAATAAATAAAATAATTTGAAAAATTTTAACTAAAAATAATAAATAAGTGTGATAATAAATAAATAAATATTTACATAAATGCAGTGCAAAAAATCCCTAGGAAATTACAATTTACTTTACCTGGATTTATTCGAACTAGCAGAGGTCTTTAACATAAAATTGAAAATTCAAATGAATACAGAATTAAAAGGAATGATAAGAATGTTGGAAATTTCAAAATTATTAAACATTTTTCTTAATATTCAATTTTATGAAATTTTTGATTTTTGTTTGAATTTTTGTTTACATAAGAATTCTGAGATATGTGTAAAACAGCAAAATATAATAATTTCATACACGCAAAATTGAGTATATTTTTATTAAACTTTATTTTCAAAATATACCAATGTGGATAAATTTACAATCCAAGCTAAAAACCAAGTGTTCATCACTAATGGCAACAGTTAAAGAAGAGAAAATGCAAAAACGAAGCTGTTGAATATTTGTTTATATTATGTTATATTATTATATATGAATATTTTGTTGTCATTAATTTTGTATGAATAATTTGTTATTTTTATTTGTATTGTAATAATTATGTTAAATATATTTGGTGTAAAAAATAACGTTGTCAATGCAATGCCCAAAATACGTCATACGCTTCTGTTGGCACATGAAAACAAAAGCGTCAAATTTCGTCTGCAAGAAAATGCACTCTTGCAGTTTGCAATAAGTTCATTGTTTGGTATGCATGGTCAAGGTTATTTTAGTTAATTTATTTGTTGTAAATTAATTATCAATTTTAAATAAAAGGCACAATTGAATTTTTGACAATGCAATTGATGCGAAGCCACATTCGTGATTGATTCATTTCTTTAGCTTTGTAAATTTAGTTCAAGTGCTGAATTTACGTCACAAAAGCGCCTATTCACTGGATTTAAGTGTTCAGTGACTAGGATAATTAGGACAATCATCGAAATCTCTGGGTTCAAGTACTCAGTGGTTTTCTTGTTTAAATAGAATCAACATAAGTACTGGATTCAAGTGTTCAATACTTGCAAATAGTTGATTCCAACGTTGATCAGACATTTTGGTTTGATCGTACATTTTGGTGACCCCGTGAAACGGACAGCAGCACAGGACTGGTTTGACGCAGCAACAGTCAACAGTCAGCGGTTAAGTTTCAGCATTCAGCATTCGAAGAACATTCTTAAGCACATTTGGCAAAAAACTACAAATCATCAATGACAACTCTTAATGAACTCATAGATGCCCAAAAAGAAAAGGGCGAAGAGATTCAGCGAATCATCAGGAACTTCAAAAAGGATTCGGCTGAACGCAAGCAAACATCAGCATACTACAGTGAAAGATTTCGTCGGCTTGATGTTGCTTGGAAGCAGTTTGAACAAACTGACACAATGCTCAGAACTCTCATCGATCAACCGACAGATGATGAGTATTTTACATCTTCCTATTACGAGAAAATAAGAGAACTAACAAATGAATACAGTGAAATATTCAAGACAGAAGCCATTCGGATCAAAGCAGCAGACAACTTTGGTGAAGCTGCTAGTAATCAAATGGCATCACAGCCGCAACTAGTGGCTACGACAAATGGTTTGATAAGAAAAATATCTGCTCGAATGGCAGCTCTAAAAAGATTAGTAGAGAGCTTGTCAGAGAGCGAAGGCATACAGCCACTTCAATATTACGAAATTAAATCAAACACAATCATGCAACATTGGAACCAATTGGAATGTTTGCATGATGAACTATGGGAAAACTTTGAAAATCCACTGATGTCAGGATTCAATCAAGATGAGTATTACCAAATTGAAGATTTGGTACAACAATGTTTGATAGAGTTGTCCATAAAATTGGATCAATTACAACAGAAACAAGCAACAGTAGCAGAACCAAACATGCGGTCCTCACTGCCATTACCAAAGGTAACAATCCCAAGTTTTAATGGGAATTACTTAAAATGGAGGCAATTTTTTGACTTGTTTACACAAATGGTAGACAATCAGCCACTACCAGCTGCTCAAAAAATGTGGTACTTGAAATCACATGTGACAGGTGAAGCTGAAAAATTGATAA